CTTATCACTTTCACAAATGTGTGTTCCATTCCCTACCCCTTTCCCCTCCCCAAATCAGGAGACATCCCTGTCGCCTTTCAGTATCAGAAAGTTTTCCAACATGAGTTTCTAAGTTAGCAGGAGGAAACCTCTGTGTTTTTTGGTGAAACCCTCTGTTTCCATTTCTTCCTCTTCTCTGAGAAGGAAACATTCCTCCTCAAAGGAAGGTTGGCTCTTCTGCCCTGAAAATGGAGAAGGAGTCACCATGCTTTCAGTTTTGTGTGAGAAGTTGGGAAGAGAGCAGAGACGCACATTCATCTTTCTGTGTAATTTATTTCTCTTTTGGTAAATGTGGTTTCTGAGCTTTTCAGGAAGAGTTGACTTCTGCCTCTAGTTTTTGCAGACCACAACTTGGCTTTCAGGAAACAGGGCACTTGAGGTGCTCTTTTATAATTGGTCAGTGGCTTCTTACTCAATAAAATCAGTAGTTTATGATCACTTCAGTCTTGTTCATCAAAAATCCATAGTTAAAAGGGTAGGAGGAAGAAGGAATTAAATAGGTTTTTTTTTTTTTTTTAAGTGCTGAAACTTTGCGAAGTGAAAAGAGAGAACATTCAAAATATTTTATTATATTCTAGCATATTTCTTATGTTTTATTATTGTAGTATTTTTTAATTCTTGGATCAACTATCAGTTTTGATCTTTTACCTGAGGACGTTTTTAGCCAGAGTTCTTCTGTGAACCACAGAATACAAGAAATGACCTGAGTATTTTCTCAGTGCTCTCAAGGATGCTGGCATGAAGAACTGTGACATCGGAAATTTGATTCTGCTTCGCAAGCTCCCACATTGGCCCACCATGATTCCGAGAATGCTGGCGGAGGACACGGGACTCCTGGTCAGAGTTAAAAGACTGTATTCAACACAGATACAGCCATCCTCAGAGGGTTCCTTTGAGTCCCATTTCTCACAGGGTGAGGCCTGCGGGCCAGATAACACCTGCCTGTGGAGTGCTACAAGAGAGAATCCAGAGCTCTGGAAAACCAGATCTTTTATGATGGTGGTAAAGTCTGTTCTTTACTCCAGGAGAAGACACAAACTATCTCCCAAGGCACTATACTTCATAAACACCTTTGAAAAGATAACCCAGTCTCTGCTCACTAGAAGTGCATAAACACCAGAGATTCATGTAGAATTGTCTCCCAACATGTACACAGCCAGAGCACTTCTAGATGTGCAGGAGAGGCGTTCATTCATTATGTACATGGGTGCCTTAGGGCTTCCTTCTGTCCTAGAGCGCAGGCTGAGAAGAACTGCTAGACCTTTGCTATGGGTGCCCTTTCCCAAGTGCTTGAAGTCAAAGTGAAAGTGTTAGTCGCTTCAGTTGTGTCCAACTCTTTGCCACCCCATGGACTGTAGTCTGTGAGGCTCCTCTGTCCATGGAATTCTCCAGGCAAGAGTACTGGAGTGGGTTGCCATTCCCTTCTCTATGGGATCTTCCCAACCTAGGGATTAAACCTGGTTCTCCTGCATTGCAGGCAGATTCACTACTGTCTGAGCTACCAGGACAGACACCACCCTGTCCAAATGCCTAGGGTTCCTCTAAAATGTTTAAGTCAAAGAAGAGAAAGAGAATATCAGACGTCCTATCTTAACACATTATCAACTGGAGACATATTAATGCCATAGGTATTTGTTTCTGCAAAACTCCCCCAGTCCATAATGTATTAAAAGTAATACTTTACTATTTTTTGAGAAAATATAAGTATTATATTTAAAGACTTAAATACATAAAAATATTTTTTGATCCTTTTTGCCAAAACAAAACCAAACCCAAATTCTGAAAAGTAGGGAATGGTTTATATAAAAAAGCTCATGTTTACTATTTCTTGTCTTCAAAAAAAAAAAAAATTATGGGAAGATTGCTTTGGAGACACCTGTGAAGCATCTTCTAGCCTCTGCTGGCTGAGGTGAGAAGTCGTCAGGCCTTCAGTCTTGAGTATATTTATGTAACTGCTTCCTGCCTCATCCCGGCTCCCAGCAGAAAAGCCAGTGGAAAGTTTCTTGAGACCACTCGCTCTGTTTCCCGAAGCTTGTTTGGCCAGTCTCACAGGACCTCATTTCTCCATATGACGACACCGCCTCCCTACAGGGGAGGCTGTCCCCAGATGTGTGTCTTATGGCCTCTTACAAATATTCCAGCCTGCCAAGTTCGTGCCCACGGGGAAGTTCTCAGCTGAGGCTTCTGAGATGTTGTGGGGAAACCCAGGGACTCAAAGAAAGAAGGACTTCCCAGGTGGTGCTAGTCATAAAGAATCCACCTGCCAGTGCGGCAGAGACTAGAGATGGGGGTTCAGTCCCTGGGTTGGGAAGACCCCCTGGAGGAGGAAATGGCGACCCGTGGGGTCGCAAAGAGTCAGACATGACTTAGCTACTGGAACATACAGCACACACACAAAGAAGTTTAGGTCTCAGTGGGAAGTCTGGAAGGCTCTTTTTATGACCCATTGAGTGCGGGATTGCCAGCATATCTCTGTGTTGAAAGACAGTAGAAAAATCACAGAGAATAAACCAAGAAGCAAAAAAGGCTCATGTTGAGAGCTTGACTTTGGAAAGGGTGGAGAAGCCCAGCTAGGGATATGCCCTTGCCTTTTGCATCTGCTATTCCAACAATTCTTTCACTTTCTAGAAGGCATATTTTCCCTTTACAAAAAAAAAAAAACAGTTTTCTTAAAAAAAAAAAAGAAAGATATGAGGATGAAGTAGATAATAGCTCTAAAATTTATGACTTTCACTTTGAAAGAGCCTTATAAATATACACATCGCTACTCTGTCTTCATCTCGTGGCCGTCCTCCCTGTCAGCGGAGGGATGGCCATCATTTTATTGCTTGACTATTTATGACCAGGAAGAGTTGATGGGGGTTGGGTAGTACACTTCATTCTCCGCCACTACCACCCCCGAGCACCTTGAGTAATTGCTGGGAGATAAAATGGCAATTGTTTGGCTAAGTGTGGTCTTAAATTCTCTGTCAGAGCTTCACTCCCGCTCTCCTTTCTTGATTAGTAAGACACCATTAAAGGTTCCTTTTCTGCTAAAGAATGGAGTGACTTTTGCTGTTGGATATACGGACCCCCTTGGGATTTATAGGATGATATATATTTATAGCTTGGTATGAAATAGATTTGATGACTTCCAAATGAATGGTTGGATAGGGAGATTGTAAAGAAGTTGTTCAAAGAATAGCTTGTAGTCTTTTGGCTGTGTGGGCTCTTAGTTCCCTGACCAGGGATCAAACCCATGCCCCCTGCATTGGCAGGGTGGAGTCTTAACCACTGGACTGCTGGGGAAGACCCCCAAAGTGTAATGTTTTTAAAATGTACATCCCCCCCCCTTTTTTTTCTGATGAAGAGGATAGGAACCTTCTCTGTACTAAAAGCCTATCAAGTCAGTCATGCAATATTTCATGCACTCGATGGATAAAAGCCAGGTATAGTGTTAGAACATCTGGATTGAGTTCCCAGATGTGGCTTGAAGACTTCCCGTGCTGAGCACTCTGCCTGGCTTTATGCAATCTACAGAATTATAAACCTGCTGTTATCCAGAGGCTAAAAAAATACCTGAAACCATCCCAGAATGACCTATGCTAATCTACGCTCCCGTTTATTGCTGTGATGGGCCTGTAGAGAAGTTCTGTGACTTAGGCCAGAGGAGACGTAGCTGGTGGGGGGCGGTGGGGGTGGGGGGGTGGCAGCTGGAGCTGAGCTGAGGGAAGGGATAGATTGGAACCGGCAGAGGAGTGGGGGAGACTGGGAGGAGGGGTAATGTCGGGGGCCCAGAACCGTGGGCAGAATGGCCAGGCTGCTGGGGGGGCTGCTGGAGGACGGATGGGGGAGTGCACCGGTTCTTGGGGGAGGCAGATGGGGTGGACTGGGTCTTACCGGGTTGGCTGATGGAGCTCTCTGAGCAGGAAGCGTGGGGCTGAGGGCTCGGCTAGGAGACCACAGCAGTAACATAGGCACAAGCAGTAAGAATGGGGTCGCCTCCTATTTAGGACGAGAGGGTACAGAAGGGAATAGCCTGGGAGCTTCTGCAGAAGAAATGGACAGAACGTGAGGTGTGTTCTCGTCCACAGGAAGAATCAGAGAGAAGGCTCCGGGATGTGAAAGGGCAGGAGCTGCTCGTGGAGACTGGTTTTAGCCCAAGAGGGTGAAATTGAGGTGAAGAACATCTGGGTGTAGCCGCGCTGAATACCCGTGTGTTGAAAATGTCCTTGAATGAAATGAGCAGCTTTCAGCGCGTTACTTTTAAAGCAAGCTTTGTTGACCATAGTCCCAAGGCTCCAGTTTTGAGACCATTGAAGAATAATTTATTTCAGATCCACATATATTTATTGAACTCTCCATGTTTAGAGGCCCTTCCATGAATCTGTTTACTGGTCTGTTTACATTCACTTATTTTCAAAATTGGCAAATATTAGGGAATGTTCAGGTTATCAGGGGTTTGCTATTCCTTGGTTTCTCCCTTAAATGCTAGTTTTTTTTTTTGTCTACTCTAAAGGAATCTCAATTCCTAGTGGCATTTTGTTCTGAGTTTCCACATGTATAGGACCAGGTGAAAGAACTTTAGACATGAAAAGGCCACTGGAATTTTTAGAGGTATATAGGTCACGGGCTTAACTATAGATTCTTGTGACTTTGCTTCTAAGCAGAAAACTCCAATACTTCGCAAGTCCAAGCAGTTTGTTTTGTTCATTGGATTCTGGTGTTCTAATTAGCGAATCAACATGATGCTAGGCTGGACAAGACTAGATCGTCTCCATAAACCTGGAGAAGTTCAGTACGACATCTCTAGTTCTGAGGTGTGGCTCTTGGGGCTACAGACCTGGGAGGGTTCTGTCCCTTTGGATCATCTGGAGAGAGAAGGAAGCTCTCATCCTAGCTGTTGAGGAATGGAGTGTCATGTATTTGGTGTTCTATGGCCTTTATACTATTAATTCTATTCTTCAAACTTCCACCCTTAGGCCAAGCCAGGCGCGATCATCCACAGTCCAGTGGCTTAACCCTCAATCCCCAACCACGCCGGGCTGCAGTCCAGGTGTTACACCTCCTTCACCCAAGCTGTCACCTTTCCCCCTGTCTCTTCCTGCCACTGTAGCAGACAAGCCACCTGAAAGGTATGTAGTTTTCAGTGTGACGCAGAATATGGGGGTGGCGCGCAGAGGGGCTTGATCTACCTGAGCGGGTTCTTGTGCTCCCCGCATGGAAAAAGCTTCCCGTCTCCTGGACTCTGTGGACATTTATAACCTTATCTTAAAGGTTCAAGAGCAAGTACCTTCTTAGGAGAAATTTGCCTTACGTGAGACCTGCTTGAACCTACCCTTTCTGGTTCTGGTCGTGCATTTATGAAACCATGTTTTTTTGTGTCTGACTCTTTGCAACCCCATGGACTGCAGCATCCCAGGCTTCCCTGTCCGCTACTGTCGCCTGGAGCTTGCTCAAACTCATGTCCATTGAGTCAGTGATGCCATCCAACCTTCTCATCTTCTGTCGTCCCCTTTTTCTCCTGCCTTCAATCTTTCCTACCATCAGGGACTTTTCCAATGAGTCAGCTGTTTGCATCAGGTATAAATGGGGTGCTGGAAGCTGTAATTAATATGGCCCTTTGATGGGCTAGTGATGCAGAGGCCAGAGTGCTTTAGCAAAGCCCATCCTCGGGCCAGCAGACTGGCCATCCCCATCAGTGGCTCTCCTCCTGCCGTGAGAGGGGATGCTGCCTTCTGCCCTGGTGTGCAGCTGGCTGGCAGCCTGGTTTCCATCCTTCCCCACTGGGTTCTTTTCCCACGAGAACACACAGGATGTTTTGACAAGCGGAGAGAAGTTGAGCCTGATGTGCCTTTTGGGGGCGAGAGTGAGGGGGTCAAATATAGAAGACCCAGCTGAGAACAAGCAGCCCTTTCCGGCAGGGGCGTGGAAACAGACCGTCAGTGCACGACCGTGTCCTCGCTGCCTGACTGTGTGTCTCTGCCCGTAACTGACTCGCCCCCGTCTCCAGACACTGGTGCTTTCCCTTAATCGATAAACTGAAATGCATTGGAAATAAACATGCCCCGTGGTGCTAGTAACACTGAAGGAGAGGAAAGGGCATCCCACTGAGTGCAGAGGAGAATTAGGTGAAGAGGTTCAGGCTGAGCTTCTCAGAGAGGCTCCCTAAAACGAAGATTTGAATTTGAAACTCGTCAAGCGCTATGGTTTCACGATGTTCACTTTCCCGCTAGTGTCTCTTCTGGAAGGCACTGCTCTGCGGGTGTCATAGAGATGAGATTTGGGAAACGCGGGTGGGGGAGAGGTGAGGTTTCTCACGCTGCCGTCTGTGCATCTCACGCGTTCCCTCTTCAGCGTCATCAGTCGGAAGGCCCGGGCGGTGTACCCCTGTGAAGCGGAGCACAGCTCGGAACTGTCCTTTGAGATTGGAGCGATCTTTGAGGATGGTAAGTGTCCCGTGGGAGCTTTGCGGGAGGTCGCTTTCTGCCCTCACAGAGGGTCTGCAGCCCAGAGCAGGCAGGCGGTCCCTGGCTGTGGGGTTGTCAGGAGCTTGTTGCTTTGGATGGGGAGGGCCAGCCCACGTGGCTCCTGGGAACTGAACACCAGGGCCTGGGCGTGCCCACTTCTGCTTTAATCTTGGTTTTTCTCCAAACTTTTTAACTCTCAAGGGCATTTTTGTCCCGATGTAGAGAAGCTGGTGCAATGTGAAATCAAGAAATGTTTCTAATTTGCACCCTCTGTTATCCTCCCAGAGTCCCCAACCCTCTTAAATACTTTGGGTTTGTCAGCCTTGAGTTACAGGCAAGTGCTATCGTCAACCGATTTTGGTTTATCGTTCCCTTACATTCTTAGGCTCGACATGAGTTTGCTCATTGGAATTGTGTCTGAATCTCTCGATGTGGGTATTGATTTTGCATACTGAAACCAGGGTATAGATTTTATTTGTGTGTTTAATAGTCACACGTAAGCATTTTAGGAGCTATGCCCGGTTTCAGATTTCACAAATTCCTCCTGTGGTTCCATGTGTGTCTCTTCCCTCCCCCTTGATTTCTTCCTTCCCAGTCCTCCTCATTATGAAAATCATTGGTTGCTATGGAAACAGTGATGTTGTGTGGGGGTGTGGCTGCCCAAAAGAGATCTGGAGAAGCAGCGAGAACCTTTGATGCTTGGAATGGAATGGTTGATTAGCCAGAATGTTTGGAAGAGATGGAATGTATCAACACAATGCCTGGTGCTATATTGTCAGTGATGTGGCATGTGCCGATGATTGTGTTTTAGAAAGCAAGTTGCCACATTTAGAGGAGATTTCTATATCTGTGGGATACGTACTCTGGAGCGCCAGAGACTACCGACAGTGTCAGCAAACAAACAACAGCAGCAAACCCCACATGTGACAGAATTATACTCTGTGGAGAAATTTTGTTCTTAAGAGTAGAAGCAAGACCAGTCTCCTGCCACTGTAACATACACACATACGGTTTGGCCAGGAGACTGTGGTCAGTTAGCTGCCCTGCTCCAGGCCTGTCTCATATTGACACCCGTAGAGCAGAAGAGAAAGCTGAGAGCCTTGAAACATGCCATTTAAGAAATGAAGATGAATTCTTTTATTTATTTATTTATTTATTTTTGCTGTACCCTCACGTATGGCATTGGAGAAGGCAATGGCACCCCACTCCAGTACTCTTGCCTGGAAAATCCCATGGATGGAGGAGCCTGGTAGACTGCAGTCCATGGGGTCTTGAAGAGTCGGATGTGACTGAACGACCACTTTCACTTTTCACTTTCATGCATTGGAGAAGGAAATGGCAACCCACTCCAGTGTTCTTGCCTGGAGGATTCCAGGGACAGGGGAGCCTGGTGGGCTGCCATCTATGGGGTCGCACAGAGTCAGACACGACTGAAGTGACTTAGCAGTGGCAGCATGTAATGGCATGGAGTTTCCCACGGGCTCAGATAGTAAAGAATCTGCCTGCAATGCAGGAGATGTGGGTTCCATCCCTGGGTTGGAAAGATCCCCTGGAGAAGGAAATGGCTACCCACCTTAGTATTCGTGCTTGGAGAATTCCATGGACAGAGGAGCCTGGCAGGCTACAGTCCATGGGGTCGCAAAAAGTCAGACACTTGGTGAGTAAAGAACAACATGTGCAGCATGTGGGATCTTAGTTCCTCACCAGGGACTGAACCCACTCCCCCTGCAGGGGAATCATGGAGTCTTAGCCACTGGACCGCCTGTGACGCGGTGTGATTAGATTCGCTTAGGAACCCCTGAACACAGCATTGTTCATGTGATATTTACCTTGGTGGAAGATGTATCTATTAGGATGCCTTTGGCTGCAGGTAACAAAAACAGATAGAACTGGTGAACGCAGTCATGGAAATGGATTCCCTCACACAGTAAGAAGCCTGCAGGAGGGGAGCTCCGGGGCTGGTTAACCACAGTCACAAGGGTGTCACCAAAGCCCACAGTGTGTGCATCTCAGCTGGGATACAGGGGGCCCCGGCCGCTCCCCCAGCAGGGTGGGAAGGCTGCCCCAGTCCCGGGAATCATGGGCACGTTCAGCCATAACAGGAAGGGTGTGCCTCATCCTTGTGTTCTTTTTGTAAGTATGAGAAAACCTCTCCCAGCTTCCTTCCTGGGTTATCTGTTCTCGTGGCTCAGTAGCCAGGATGAGGTCAGATGCTCACCTTGAACCCACTGCTGGCCAGGACTTCAGACCACACACTTGGTCCAGAAACTCCTCCTCTGGGCACAAAGACATTAGGAAGGGGGAGTCAGAATTTCAGTCAAATCTAGTTCTGCCGGCATGGATGATATTGGGAAAGGTCAGCAGATGTCTGATGCAGGAGAATGAAGATCTCCGCTTCTAAAGTACCTCGGTGGCTTGCAGGAGTCCTTCTAAGAAAAACAGTGTGTGCACAGGTGTGTGTGTGTGTGTATACACAGACATATCCATGTATCCATGCACATACATATATGCACACACACATGCATCTCAGTGTGTTTTGGGAACAGGAGAGTGATTGAGAGCAGATAGCTATGGGTTGTCAACCCTTCACGTGCCTGCCCAAGGTCAGTAGGCTTTTCCACTTTCTGGGTGGCCCTGAACAAGTGCCTTAAGTTATCTCTGCCACACATCGTCCATCCTGATCCACAAGGATGTTCTCTTGGGTGGCAGTGTGTCAGAGCAGCATTTTGGGCCATGAATGCAGAACAGACATCGGAGGAAGCTACTGCTGACCACAGAGCTTTGCTTGGTGCCCTGTGGACCCGACTCCAATTTGAGCCAAGGCACAGAGCCCTCAGATTTGGGGCTCTGTGATGCTGGTCTGGATGGCTGGCTGGGGCACCCAGGGAGTACTGGGTGTTCCTCAGGCCTTCCCCCAGGCCACCTACCCCAGAGATGCCATTGATGTGTTGACACCCTCCCTCTCCACCAGCATACTCGCATATCATTTGATGTGAACTCCATGCCTTGCAGCTCTGGCCCCTTCTTTTGCAGCAGCAAATACACATGGGGACCACATTCAGAACCCATGCTCCCAGACTGACTGTTTCTTATTGAGGTTCTTAAAGGTCACAGACAATGGAAGACCCTTTGTCTTTGCTGTTCAGTCACTAAATCATGTCCCACTCTTTGTGACCTCATGGACTGCAGCATGCTAGGCTCCCCTGTGCCTCACTATCTCCTGGAATTTGCTTAAATTCATGTCCATTGAGTTGGTGATGCTGTCTTAACCATCTCATCCTCTGCTGCCCTCAGTCCTTCCCAGCATTGGGGTATTTTCCAGTGAGTCAGCTTTGTGCATCAGGTAGCTAAAGTCTTGGAGCTTCAACTTCAGTATCAGTCCTTCCAATGAATATTCAGGTTTGATCTCCTTCAGGATTGACTGATTTGATCTCCTTGCTGTCCAAGGGGCTCTCAAGAGTCTTCTTTAGCACCACAGTACGAAAACATCAATTCAGTGCTCAGCCTTCTTTACGATCCACCTCTCACATCTGTGCATGACTACTGGAAAAACCATAGCTTTGATTATATGGACTTTCATTGTCAACGTGACGTCTTTGCTTTTTAATACGCTGTCTAGGTTTGTCATAGCTTTCCTTCCAAGGAGCAAGCATCTTTTAATTTCATGGCTGCAGTCACTGTCTGCAGTGATTTTGGAGCCCAAGAAAATAAAATCTGTCACTGCTTCTACTTTCTTCCCATCTATTTGCCATGAAGTGTTGAGACGCCTAACGCTTAAGCTGTTATTCTGGGGCAGTGCCTCCCATATCCCATGGCGGGCGCTGTGTGTGTAAGGTCTCAGGGCAAATGATGTTTTCATGAGACACCCCGCGTCCCCCCCAGTACACACATGTATGCGCGTGTGAGTGCACATACACAAGGCATGTGTAGGGGTTATTTATGAGGACTCTGACCTGGTCTGAAGCATTGAGAGAGGTCTTGGAGGGCGGGTGGGGTGCCTCAGCAGATACCTGATGGGCATGAGCGCAGAGGACCAGCCATGTAAAGCTCAGACTGTGGGTTGCTACACAGGAGTGGGTTCTGAACTCCATTTGCTGAGTTGCAGTCAGCATTGAAAAACAGGAAAGAGTGCATTAAAAAAAAAGTGCATTGAACATAGAAGTATTATCCCATGGAGCTTTTGTGTGTTGGGCACACATGCTGGATTTCAGCTACACAGTAGCCATCTTCTGATGGGTTGTGGTCACGGCTGCAGTGCTCGGCCAGTTCCTGACCTGTTCTGCTGGGCCGGGACACACTCGCACTCCTTCTATGCACGTGGCTTCCACGTCTGCTCTTGATCTGGCCTGAGCTGGGATCTCCCCATGGCTGTGCGGAGACCAGATGCGTCCAGACCTGGTGACGAGCGCTTAGACCCTGTGCCTACTGCTGTCCAGCCTGTGGTCGTTGTCTTGCGTGTCGTTATGGCTCTTTGTGGGACCTGGAGTCGCCCGACAGTGGCCCAGGTGTAGAAGGCCTCCCCCTGCCCTCAGGAATGCCCCACACGGTGGCCAGTCAGACAGGGCACCCAGACGATGCTGGTGAGTCCTGGCGACTGCTGAGAACGGCCAAGGACGACTCCCCAGAGGAGAGGGTGTCTGAGGGTCTCTGAAGAGGAAGAATCCCCTGTGCAGAAGTCGGGGGAAAAAGCGTCAGCGGAAAGCACTGCCCATGCAGAGGCCTGGAGGCTCACTTGGGGGCTTCTGTGGTTGATTCCCTGCGGGTGACCTGCTTGTGGGCAGAGTTGGGATGGGTGGGGAGGTGGCCGGGCCAGGTGCCTCTGGAAGCTTGGGTTTGTTCCTCCGGACAGTGGAGGGTCGTGCTGTGATCAGCCGGATGTTCTGGAAAGTTCACTGAGCTCCCTGGTGCACTGTGGTGTAGGAGGACGCTGACCGGACACTGAGGATGGGTTAGGAGGCTTCCATAGGGAGGAGAATTGGAGGCTGGGGTGACCAGGGGCAGAGGGGGCCCCTATAAATAACTCTCGTGCAGACTTGTAACCAGATGAGCCGGGGGTGATGCACAGCGGGGCAGGGATTTCAGTGGGGCATTCTGATAACAAGGGATGTTTCTTCCTTTCCAGTGCAAACCTCGAGGGAGCCTGGCTGGCTGGAGGGGACTTTGAATGGCAAGAGGGGGCTGATTCCACAGAATTACGTCAAGCTGCTGTAGCGCCCAGCCCGCAGAGCCTGGCCCCAGAGCAGCTGGGAGCGGCGAGCCCCGTCCACCTCCCGGGCGGGACCACAGCCACCTGGACACTCCAGGGCGGGTAGCAGGGGCAGACGGCTCGAGGCGGGGGGAGAACGGTGTTGCGCGGTGCGGATCCGAGCCGCTGGAGAAGGCTGTGCAGATGAACAGGAGAGACTCTGCGTCTGGCATGCCTGGGGACTTGTGGTTTTAAATTATCCGGTCTCTAGAGCGAGGGGGAGGGCGACCTTCTGCTGGCCCACCTGCCCCACTGGCGGCCACGTCATGGGACACCTCCCCTCACACCTAAGGGCACTGTGCTGCCAGATGTGCCGCTAAGGCGGGCGTCATTGACGGGTTGCAGCGGGCAGGTGCAGGCTGCGTTGGTCTCTGTATCGAGGCCAGCAGACCGAGGCTCCTGCCCAGATGGATGGCCGCCCGCCCTGGGGACCCCACGCTCGCTGACTTAGGGCACCTGCGGACTCACAACCAGCTTCTCCTCCGTGCTGCTCACTGGTGTGCTGTTTCCCCGGCACCCCCTTTCCGCTCCGAGTTTTGTGTACATGGAATAAAATATAATTTACTATGGGATTCGTGTCCTCACGTGGGGAAGAGGTGGTGGAACTCACTCACTCTGTAACTTTTCCTGGTGTGGCTGGTCGGCAGGCTTGCACTCTCCCCCGGGGTTGGCCCGCATGCGCTCACAGGTAGGATGGATTAACCGGGAGCCTGGCTGCTTTGGAACGGGGCGTGTTTCTGGGGACAGGGGCCCCCTCTCTGACAGGTGAGAGCCTGGCAGGTCCCCTCTAGCTACCTCAGAGGGCCTTGGGGGAGCCCAGCCAGGACGGAGCTGGGGTGCTTTCCCCAGAGCTTTGTGTGTGAGGGCAACCTCCTGATGAGCTGCTGTGTACAGCCCTGTATCACGACCCCCGCCCCCAAATCCCATTCCCTCTGTTTCCCAGACTGCAGTGCCCATCTCTCCATCTGGATTAAGCTGGGCTATAGGATGGTCTGGGCTCTATGGACCCAGACCCTGCTCTTGGAAGAACTTCTGCCACATCCCCGCACACAGGGCACGCCAAGTGATGCTTCTGTGGTCTTCCCAGCCTGACTCGCAGGCGCAGCCTGAACCAACCTCTCTGGGAAGAGGGGACCGCTCTGCCCCTGACCTGGAGCCCCTGGAGTGTGCAGCTCATTTGTAGGGGCCTCAGGACTCTGGAGCCAGCCCTGCTCCAGGGGCTGCTCAGGGGGCCCGGCACATCTCTTTCCACAGAGGCTTCCTGGCCTGTCCCAGTCCTCCCCTCAGTTGTTCCTGGAAGGATGTGTCTGTTGCCTCTTCCCCAGGTGAGGTGACCCCAGCGTGCTGGTTATCAGCTTGGAGCTCGCCTCCCCTGGACCATGGAAGGTGTCAAGTGTGGGGTCAGGTGAGTGTAGACAGGCCCATCGAGAAGTATCCATTTTCTGACTAAAGTGTTAGTCGCTCAGTCATGTCCGACTCTTGGCAACCTCACGGACTGTAGCCCACCAGGCTCTTCTGTCCGTGGGGTCGTCGAGGAAGAAATACTGGAGTGTGTTGCCATTAGTGAAATATGATTGAAAATGCTGAACTGTGGGCCCAGTGGAGAGTATTGGGGCTGCCAGGGGGCCCAGGGCCCTAGACAAAGGCTGGGCCTGGGGCTGTGGGCCAGGCTGGCAAGAAGGTGGGGATGGCACCTGTTTGGAGTTCTCCCTCCCTGCTCCTGCCTGCCGCTTAGAGGTAGAGGAGAGAAGCTTGGCCTGGAGCAAACGTCCGCATTTCTGTGGTAAAGTGCAAGCTTGTGGGCAGTTAGGGTGAGTGTTCCTAACTGTGTTCTTCATCGGAGTCCATCCATGGGCAGTCAACAGAAGACCTACCGAGTTGAGACTTGATGCCTTTGCTCACTGCTGTTGCACCCAAGCTGTCGTTAGCTCCCAAAGTACATTTATCACCACTCCCTCGGTCGTGGAAATTGCTCTAAGGGCTGGCTGCCGGTGTGGGCTTTCCAGATGGCACTAATGGTAAAGAAACTGAGCCCTGGGTTTGATCCCCGGGTCGGGAAGATCCCCTGGAGGAGGGCCTGGCAACTCCAGTATTCTTGCCTGGAGAAGCCCCAGGGATAGAGGAGCCTGGTGGGCTACAGTCGCAGAGTCACAGAGTCAGATACGACTGAAGTGACAGCACACACACTGGCTACCTGTGTGCTTTAGGGCAGATTAAATTGACTCTGAACTGTTCCTGCCTCCTAAAAAGCCAAGCATACTCAGATATTTGGGGCGGAAGTGATAGCATATGCTCAGTTAGCGGGCAATGCTAGTGCCTGTACTGATGTGACAGTCAGCTGCTCTGGTCCCCGCTGCCGTGGGCCACCATCTGATGTTACTGATGGGAGAGTCAGCTGCTCTGGTCCCCGCTGCTGTGGGCCACCATCTGATGTTACTGATGGGAGAGTCAGCTGCTCTGGTCCCCGCTGCCGTGGGCCACCATCTGATGTTACTGATGGGAGAGTCTCCTGCATCTTTGTCGTCGGGGCACCTGTGTTCTGTAGGATGACAGTGCAACAGTAGGGAAGCCTCAGGATAGGACTGGCTGCAAGGGCTCCCCCAGCCCTGCAGACGCCTCTGTGCTGGTTCCAGGAAGAACAGGGTTACGCCAAAGGGGAGTGGAGTGTGGGGGTGTCTTCCTTTGGGAGTAGGTGGTACCAGGTGGCCCCCAGCCAGGGAGCTTTCCTGGGCCTGGCCCAGAGTGCGCTTAATAACGGGACTGGGAGGAGTTCTCTTCCACCAGCAGATCTTCATTTCCACAGGAGAGTGGAGGTGGGTGTTTCTGTGTTTTTGTCGTGTGGTTATAGTTCCCTGAGCACCTACGGAAGGCTGGCTGAGCAGCGGCCCTGCCTCCCTCAGGACCCAGGCCCCTCAGCCCACCTCGTTCAGCAGCAGCCGCCTCCACCAGCTGGCATCCTGTGTTCATTCAGAAGCATGACTGGGGGGCGGGAGGGCTTTGAGCAAAAGAGGGCACTCAGATTGTTTCCCTGCAGTGGGGCTTGCATTCTATGAGGTCCCTAAAAGGCTGGCCCTTTCGTCTGCACCAGGAAAGGACATGCCAGATGAGAGCAAAGCCAGATGGCCTGGGCTGGGGGCAGTTATAACCGCTCTTTCTTTGCAGCAATAGAAGCATCTATAGTTGGGAGTACTGGGTGGCGGGGGGGCGGGCGGGCACTGATTGTGCTGGTGTTGGACATTCAACCCATACGTTCTTTACCGGGACTGACTCAGCCAGGAGAAGTTATCTTAGTGAAGGCTGTCAGGAGCAGAGAGCTTTGTTCCAGTGCAGTAAGCTGGTCACACGCTTTCTCCTTTAGTGTCTTGCTTCTGGGGGCTGGTAGTGGGTAAGGGCTGTTAGGAGTTGAATTGTGTACCCCCTTCCAAAATTTATATGCTAAAGTCCTAACCCTGGTACCTGAATGTGACCTCATTTGGGAACAGGATCATGGCAGATGTCATCAACTCACATGAGGTGGGTGGGGTTGGACTGGTGTCCTTAGAGCAAGGGGCAATTTGGACACTGAGACAAGCGTAGGGAGGGTAGTGTGAAGACACACAGGGAGACAGTGGCCACGTACAAGCCGCGGAGAGAGGCCGGATCCTCCCTTAGAGGGACCCAACCCTGATAACCTCTTGATCTCAGACTTCCAGCTCCCAGATGGGGAGGCAAGACATTTCTGTTGATTTTAAGCCCCCCAGTTCGTGGTACATTGTAACATTTCTAGGAAACAAATACGGTGGCTCAAAGTGCATGTTTTGAGTTTAAAAAATATACATATATACCTATTTTGAAATTCTATTTTCCCTAGTTTGTACCTTGCTGATCTTGAATGTGTTCCTTTGACCTCTTATGCGTCAGCTTCTAGCCATGAAATGGAGAGTGGTACCAGCCTCAGTGGAAGACTGTGACAAATGATAATGTGACGTGTCTGAAGGGCACCCAGCAGGAAACAGGGTTCAGTAAATGGGGAAGATGGGAGAAGGCAGCCACAGGGTGCCTGGGGACTGGTCTCTGCTCCCTTCTCATCTCATAGCCATGCCCCGCCTGCTTCCCTCTAGCCTACGTGCTCCAAGGCTGTGCCTTGCTCTCTCCCTCTGCCCTACATTGTCCAGCCTTCTCCTGTCTTCCCAAGGGCATTCCGTGCTCTTTATTTTTTAAATAATTTATTTGGCTTAGTTGAGGCTGTTATTAGTTGTGGTGTGTAGGCTTAGTTGCCCCAAGGTATGTGGGATATTAGTTCCCCGACCAGGAATCGAACCCATGTTCCCAGCATTGGAAGGCTGATTTGCAACCACTGGACTAGCAGGGAAGTCCCCCCATTCCCTTCCCCACTGGGCCCCTTATCACCTGCTCACTGGTTGTCCCCTCAAGACGCTCACCAGGCTGGGAGGCTCCTTCCTCAGCCAGATGTTCTACGTGACTCTTGAATCTTCTGGAGCCACCCGACTTTCTTCCCTCCCTCCTGTGGGAGGAAGTTATTCCAGGAGCGTGTCCTCAAACAGCTTTCTGGCTTGAGCTCTGAGAACGTCTTCTCCAATGCTTGTCAGCACTCTTTTTCCTTGACTGGCCTGGGTGGTAATTTATTGCTAACCCGTCTGGGTAAGCTGGCACATTCTCCTGATGCTTTCATGTCTGGCAAAAAGTATCTCAATCTGCTGGGTAGAATACCTTGGAGAATTCTTTCCTATCAGAAGATCAACTTGATTGGAAAGAAGAGTTCTAATTTTTGCCCACCAGGAGACTTGCACTTTAGACTTCAGCAGTAAATGCATGGGATTCATTGAGGCTGCTCAGTACCATGCGTTATAGTTTCTGGATTTTTCCTTCCTTCTGTGGTTTAACAGCTGCAGGTGGAGCAGCTCGGAGTGTGGGCAGAACACGATCTGACTCAGCTCAAGCAAGTTTTCACCACAACCCTCTCTGG